TACTTGGATTGCAGATTTGTTATTTTCTGCTCATATATGTTCTTCATGCTGTAATCTTTAGTTTACTCATATCAGGGAGTGTCAACAGTTGGAGGTTGTAGATACAGGCAAGCAATTCCAATAGGCCGTAAAGGAAGACTAGACATAGAAATAGATACTAACTTTGGGATTCAAAAAGGATTCCTTCCACGGGTATGAAATTGTCTTGTAATCTTGATTTGGTTATTGCAAATTGCAGCAACTTCTTTCCAATTGATTGTGCACGTACTAGGCTTGGCACTTATGTAATACAATGCTCAATTAATGGCCAATGACAATTCAAAGGGCTTTTGGATGTCACCATTGTTTCTGGGGTGTGTGTCTATCTTTTTGAGTCTTTGACACAGTTTGATGGTGAATGATTTTGTTTATTTTTTGACTTATAAAGTGTAATAGTTTATTAACTTTGTTACTTTGGATATTTGGTTAAAATATTCAAATCATAAAATTAAAGGAAATGAATCACAACATATGTTGGATATTTGGGTTGAGTCACAAATTGTAAGGCCCAATTTTAGAAAAAAAAAAAAGCTAAGGGACTAAGGTTAAAATCGGTTAAAACCGAAATCGATGTCAACCGAACCGATTCATTTAGTAACCAAATTAAATAACCGAAATATTGATCGGTTCGATTTTCGATTGTTACTTTATAAAACAATCAACCGATTAAAACCGTCAATTCAGGTTCGGTTCCAACCGAACCGAACCGATGCCCACCCCTAGGTACAATATGCTTTCCTCTCCATCGAGGTAAGTTTTTTGGCATATATTTTCCTTGAGGTGACACTACTTTGGAATATTACCAATTTTTTTTTTTTTTTTGAACAGTGTGAAATCTTTTTTTTCCTGGGGGAAGGGGGAATGGGGGACTTGGGATTGATCCCAAGTCCATGTAATCCTACGCACGTCCCTTGCAAGGGAGTGGCCATTTGGCCACCGAGTGCGGGACGGAATATTGCCAATTCAATTAATTAACTTGGAATAATTTAGTGAAAACATGGGAGAAAATCACGCGCTAATAATCTTTTTCTTTTTGACAAAATAGTCTTTAGCAAGTATTGTTGAATGTTTTGTATATTAAGTTTAAAATTTAAGTTTTGAAATCAATCTTTAAAATATTAATTAATTTTTTTAAATGTGTAAAACTTATGTAAAGAGTGCATATTTAAAATCTTTTAAAAAATTAATATTAAAATATACATAAATTTAATTTTACTTAAGAACAACCTGACCCTAAAAAAGGAAAAATAATAGTAATGAAGAAGAATAAATGCTTCTCAATGTCGTCTATTGCTTTTTGCTTATTCTATTCTCATCAAAGGTCTATGCGTTGATTTCCATCCCATATCGCCTTTTAACATAGTGTGCTTTCCGCACTTGATTTCGTGGGCCGACTAATTTGTAATTAGTTTTCAAGGTGTATTTTCACTAATATAATACTAATTTAAAATTTTCATTCTTAAAATATGAACTTTTTTAATATATATATATATATATATAGTGCGCTTTCCTATATATGGATGTAACGGAGAGTGCTAGTTAATTTCTCTTGCAGTGTGTCACTGACAAGTCATTCTCTCCTCCATGGGCATCAGTAAGTTCTTAACCAAAAACATTCCAGTTCAAAGAAACGGAGATAACAACACAAGGCCAGCTCCCACCCCCACAACCGGAGCTGTGAAGTTGAGCCCGCCCCCCTCGGCCTCTTCCTCCTCCTCCTCCTATACGGTAGCTTACAATAAAGAGGAAGTCCCTTTTCCTGGCGGAAACGTCAACAAAGGCCCTGGTGCCGGAGGCATCAATTCAGGCACAAAATCGGGAAGTATCAATGACAACAAGGGAGAAATTAATTTCTAGCTGGTGCGAGTTTCTATTTTTTAACTTGAATGAAAGATGTTACTTATGAGCAGATCATGAAGGTACGTACGTTCCCGATAATCAATAAATAATTTGCAGCTGCTTTTTTATATTTATGGGAATGTATGGTCGAAAACCGTAAAGGGTGTTGATGAGGTTTGATCTTGAAACTTATTGAAAGTGTGAGGGTTAACGTTGAGATTTAGGTATGTGTTCATAAGAACTTTCTTGAATGTATAAACTGTATGTGCTGAGTGAACTTCATTTTATCTTATGTTATGAATAATCTGTGTTTTGAGAGGTATGATGTCTATTCCTTGTTCCTC